AAGAAAAAAAGAAAGAAAGAAAGAAAACTTGTTGGCCTTGTCCAGTGTCTCAGGGGCCTTGGAGTGACAGAGCTGGACAAGAACCCGAGTCTTTGGTTTCCCAAACCTACTTTCTTCCTCAAACCTGGTCTTGTTTCCCTGAAATGTCTGAGGAGCAGGGGACATCAACTTCCATGCATTATTTTTATCTTTGAATTTCCTCAGAAACTTTTGCAAGAGCAGCTAAACTCTCTACCATTAGTCAAAAAGTTGGTGGTTCAAATTTACCCAGAGAAACCTCATAAAAAAGATCTGGCTATCTGGTTCCCAATGGTCACTGTGGAGCAGTTCTACTCCACACATGTGAGGCCGCCATGAGTGAGTAGTGATTCCATAGAAACCAGCAGGAACAATGACAATTACCAGGTTCCTCTTAGACACCTAAGTCTCAAAATCCATGTTTAACAGACTGGCTTGCTTCTGCTCTCACCCCCAGTTTGCTGACCTCTGTGTTGCATCTCTGAAGAAGAGACATGAAGCTATCAGAAGTGGGGTTTGGGACATACTTTAAGGCATTTTCTCTCTTTGCACTTTCCATTTACACCAGTTTGTCACCAGGTGAAGTTCTAGTTCATTCCCTGCACATGTGCCCAGATAGACCCGGAAGCCCATGTTCTTCTGTGCATCTCTTCTGTGTTCATTACTATTCATTTAATTTTGTGGGTGATGAGGACAGTCACTGTGTCTTTCATCTCTTTGAGGGTCAGTCTTCCTCTCTTTCCTCTGTCCCAAGCATTGCATCTTTTTCCAAGGGTTGCCCCATCCTGATAAAATGTGCGAAGTATGTGAGACAAAGTTTCACTATCTTTGCCTCCAAGGAGCTCCCTGGTATTTCCTCCAAGACAGAGTGGTTTGTTCTTATAGCAGTTCATGGTATAGTCACTACTCTTCTCTAGAACCACAGTCCAAAAGCATTACTTTTTCTTTCACCTTCCTTATTCCAACTTCCAGATACTTAGGAAGCAATTGAAAATACCATGATTTCGGGGTAGTACTGATAAAACCAACCCTAAAAATCCTTTTGCTTTTATTTTATTTGTTTACTTGAAATTTTCTTTTATTGAGGACTAGGACTGATGGCAAAAAAAGGATATTTGCTCTGGATGCCT